CCCCTTTGTAGCACCAAGTGGTGACAATCCTGAAGGGGGTGCTTGAAAGAGAACCACAGAATGGTTTGGGTTTGAAGGGACCTTAAAGATCATTTAGTTCCAACCCCCCTGCATGGGCAGGGACCTGTGAATCCTTCACTGGTCCTTGTTGCCAGGACTGGAGTTCAGCAAAAGGACTATGAGGGACTGATCATCCAGCATTTCATGGGACAGGAATAGTACAGGTTGGCCTTGGCCCTTGTAGGAAGCAGAAGGGGTAAATCTGGCAATTCCTCACCTTGCCATGGTGCAGGAATTGACTCTTAATGAAATAAATAAATCAGACAGTCACCTCCTCTGCAGGCTGCCTGTGTGCTCAGATGCCTGCTGTAGGCTTTTGTGCTTCGTTTCCAATTCCAGCTGAGAGAAGATTAGCTTGGGGTGGGAGGGGGAGGGCTATTTCTGTCCCTCTTCATGCCACCGACTTGACTTTATGCTGCAGACACAGATGCTTCACCTGATCAGCTGGGCCCAATCCTGCAGGTGCCTCCCCACGAGCAATCCAGGGGATGCCAACGATCCCCTTGACTTCAGAAGTGGCTGCTCACATCCCTAGGCCTGGAATTTTACCTTTGCTTGAAAGATGCACAATTTAGCAGAATTCTTTAGTTGCTGAACTATTTCATTTCGAGGTGTCCCAAGCAGGGGTTGCTCTTCCAGCATTTGTGTTTGTTTTTTTGTAAGTGCAATAAAAACGAAGTCGATGACACTTGAGTGAAGGGCCCTTGGAAGTGTTTGTGTTCTGCTTTGGTGTTGTGCTGTGCTTTAAGTAGTGCCTTGGGGAGATGTGATGGAGGATTTGCAGGTCTTAGCTCCAGCTTCGTGGTCTGGCAGGGAGACAAGGAGGCTCTTTAGCATCACCCAGCAGTGTCCCTGTTTTAATGGAACCAGTTCCAACCTCAGCAACGTTATGACAAAGTGTCTACAAGTGGAAGGGTTTGGAGGAGGAGGAGGGGGGCAGCTGTGAGTGGAAAATAAATGGACTCTATTTTCTCCTTTGTGGGATGTAAGAACCAACCTCCAGATGTGAAAAGGGAAGATGTGTGTGCAGGAGAGCCAGGACCACCCCCAGGCAGGGCTGGTGGTGCAGGTGGTACAGCTTGTTGCAACCACTGACTCAGTAAACTCTCACTTCACAGAATCACCGTCATTTCTTGTAGTGCAAGTGAGTAACCAGTGCCCTGAAATAGTCCTTTGAATTTGGTGAGTCAACTCCTGTGTTAAGGTGAGGCAAAATGAACAGGAAATGGAGACTTTTTTTTTATTCTAAAGAAGGGTTGTGTGCCAGCACTGGTGTGCATTTTGATCTTTGACACGGTTGGAGCGTGTCTCTCTGGGCTGCAGCACCAAGAGGACAGTGGTGGCAGGGGTGTCTTCTCTTCCTTCTGGCCCCTGAAATAGTCACCCATTGTCCTCACGGGGCTGGGGACTGCGTGTGTCTAGCAGGATGCTCTCAGCACCAGGCAGATCTGCTGAGCTCATGGAAACTCAACTTGGTTGAACACGAGGAACGGCACCTTTTTTTTTTGGTAGTCATCTTTAAATAAAACAGAAACCAAAATGTGATGCCTTGCAAACCACAGACACCCACACAGCCAGCTTCTGTGTCACTTTGCAGGCAAACAAGTGCTGGGACCTGAAATTGTGCTAAAGTTAGACTGACCAGTTTGTGCAAGGAGAAGTCGATGTGTCACTTCTTCAGTACAGGAGAGAAAGAAGGACCTTGGAACACAGGCAGCTGGAGTGGTGGGGCCAAAGTCTTTGAGAGGGTTCAGGGCTGGGTGTAGGGGAACTTAAGTCTGGGAGAAGCTGAGCTGTGTGCCCTTCAGGGAGACTTCTCAGGATGACCTCTCCGCTCCTTTAGAGGTTTGTTAGCTGATTGATTTGAGGAGATTATGGTGTCTGGTGTTTCCAGAAGATTTCTTGGTGTTTGTGGACCTCCTGTTTCCTTTTCATTCCTATCTGTCAGCTACTTGAGTTCTTTTTGTTCTGCTGTGAGAGCAGAACTGGAGGATGAGGTGCACACAGGAAAGTTGAACCATGGGCAAGGAGAGCAATCCACTCTTCCAGCTTTTTTGGAGGTAAACGCTGAAATAAGGTGTATTTGCTTTAATAAACCCACTGAATTAGGTCTTCATTTCTACTTCAGGTGTGTTTTGGAAAAATATTTGTTCATCTTTCAGCAAACAATGGCAGAAGTGGCCTGGAAAAGGAGCAGGGTGGGAGTGCTCCCTGTGGCGAGAGGCTTTTCCTGCCCTTCTCTCCCCCTCCTTCGAGGTATTGTAAATAAGGCTTCAGATCTGCAGCCCGTGTTACTGGAGCAGAGATTGCCAAAAAAGATACCTCCCCAGGAGTGCCTGCCAGGGGCAGGAGCCGTTCACCAGAGTTCACCAGAGGTGGTGAAGAACTTTCCAGCCAAGTGCCTGGGCAGAGGCAATTCCCAAGCCCCCAAAGAGAAGCTGTTTGGGAAGAGGGCAGCATTTATGGCCCTCTTGCCTGCAGGGTTTGTGGGGGCTGTGGTGGGGCTCTGGGAGAGCTGTGCAGGGTCTGGTGCCATGGAGGAGCCCTGACATGCTGCCCTTGCTTCCCAGCAGCATTGCTGAAGTCCTGAGCTAGTGTTTTCTATCTCAAGCAAGTGTTTGAATTTTTAGGCAGTATCTCTCTTCTGAAAAACTTTGCAATTATTTCATTTTCCCTATTATAGAATCATATAATGGTTTGGTTAGAAGGAACCTTAGAGATCATCTAGTTCCAGCCTCCCTGTGCAGACAGGGACACCTCCCACCAGCCCAGGTTGCTCCAAGCCCCATCCAACCTGCCCTTCAACACTGCCAGGGATGGGGCAGCCACAGCTTCCCTGGGCAACCTGGGCCAGGCTCTCACCACCCTCACACTAAAGAATTTCCTCCTAATGTCTCACCTCAAACTCCCCTCTTCCATTTTAAAGTCACCATCCCTTGTCCTCTGACTCCATGCTCTCATGAAAAGTCCCTCCCTGCTTTTCCTGTAGCCCCTTCAGGTACTGGAACTCTGTGGAACTAAAGTGTTTTTTGTTTTCCAATCTGAAGTTATGGGATGGAACAGGGTTTGTTGGGGTTTTGTTTTTTTCAGATCTGTCCTGAAACCCTCAAAATCAGGTTTGCAGGTGCTGCTGAAGCTGCCCTTGGCCTTCTGTTGGCCACTGAATGACTAAAGCCAGGGTCTGGGCCTGCCCGTGTGTTCAGGCTGAGTTTGTTTGTTTTCAGTTCTCAAACCAATGATCTCAGGGAGGAAATGGCTGCTGGGCTGTCAGTCTGCAGGGATATTTATAGGGAAGGTCAAACCCCTGCGGAAGGTCTGGAGCAATCTTTGGATGGAGCAGCTGCCTCCACCTTGCAGAATTGATGGGAGGTGAGGGATGCGCTGCATGGCTGGACCCTGCAGCTCTTCAGGGTGATGCCTCCCTGGCTGGGCTGCTTCACCCTCTGAAGGGGGATGGGTGGCAGCTTTGCCTGGCTTGGCTGGGTGGGAAAGGTTTGGTATCCTCAGCACAGCTCTCACCTTGCTCTAGCTCCCTTGCTTCTGTTGCTGGTTTTCCCTGTAGATGTTTGGCATCCGTTGCTTATGAGACTGTTGCTTCCTTTCTTCTGGAACAAGAGACTTACACCAGGAGTGGCTTCAGCTGCCCTGCTGGGGCTTTCTCAGGTGAATACTTAGGCTCTCCAGTCTCTCTTTCCCATAAACTGCTGTTATTTTTCTGTTGTTTCGGGGGTTTTATGGGGGTTTTTTTGTAGGGTTTGTTTCCCCCCACCCCACAGCTGGCTGATCCATGAGAGCTCTCATCTCATTCGTGGCTATTTACAGTTGATTTTGGTTTGGCAAGCTCACCTTGTGTCAGGGTGTTGTGACAGGGTCTGTTTGGAAAGGCTGGTTCAATTTACTTGTGACATTGGCTTCATTACAAATGCACCTTTCCCTGTAGGACTGTGCCTTCAATTTGGGACTCGTTGTCTCCTTCTGTGCTGGGGTGGGTGCCTGTGGGTGATGGCTGGGCAGGTACCACTGCTCAGAGGGCTCTGGTGTCCTTGTCACACCAGGAGACTGGGACTGGGCTGTGATTGAACTGCTCCTGTTGTTGTGTTTATGAAGCCCCGTGCAGCAAAACCAGAATGAGCTGGTGTGTGGTGAAGAAAAAACCTGAAGGAAGAGAGAATTGAACACAACCCCCCATGTTTTTCAGTAACTGAGGAGGTTGAAGTGTTAGTAACACCTCCCTGGGAGCTACCTCCAACTCGGCTGGGGTGAGAGGGGGCTGAAGGATGAAGTAGAAGAGTGGGGATGATGCTCCTGGTGGGTTGAGATCCTCTGAGAAAATCTGCCTGACCTCAGGTGGGTAGGCCCAAGCATCTCCAGCCTCTGCCTTCTTGTTTAGTTGTGCAGAGAAGGTCTCATCTGGTGTCTGGCTGCCCTGGGCTCTGTCACTGCAATCCTGGTCCCCTCTGCCCTGACCAAAATGCTTCAGGGAGGCAGCTGCTGGTGTGGATCAGTGCAGTCCTGGCTGAGGAGCTGGGGACACGGACATCACGGGGTGATGGGAATGCTGGAAGGGATCAGCTGCAGGGGAGGATGTGTCTCAGGGCTTCAATCTCTGACTTGTCTGAAGAGTGATACCGAATTCTGTGGAAGATCTTTGCTTATTAAGACTGTCTTTTGCTCCTAAGGGAGGGCTGCCTTGAGCTGTAGATGCAAATGAATTACACTCTAAAACTACTGCTTAATCAAGAGAGTTGTGTTTGGAGTAGGCAAAGGGTGGAACTGCAAAACCCAGGGAGAACCACCAAGCAATTAAAGCACAAATGAGCTGCCTTTTGAAATGGTAGGTGTTGCCTGTCGTTGTTTTCCAACGGGCTGGTCTCAGTTGCTTTTCTGCACAGGATGATGTGTCTTGACCCTTCACACTTTCCTCCTCATTTCAGGTTCCCACCATATTCCTGTCGGACGCTGCAATGGGCCCTTCCCAGCTCGGCCTCAGGATGCTGGTATAGCAGCAGGCACCTGCCAGCCAGAGGGCCTGCGCTGGGACGTCCTTTCCTGATGGATGCCCACGTGGACCTCCGGACAGAGCTGCAGCTGCTGGATAAGGTGCCCACGCTGGAGAGGCTGCGGGCAGCCCAGAAGCGCCGGGCCCAGCAGCTGAAGAAGTGGGCCCAGTACGAGAAGGAGATGCAGCACAAGAAGAGGAAGCATGAAAAGAAGAGAAACGCTGTCAACAGGAAGAAAGTGTCTTTTGAAGCCAGCGTTGCTCTGCTGGAGGCTTCTCTGAGGAACGACTTGGAGGAAGGTACAGTGGTTGTGTCTGGAAGTGTCTTTGGCTACTTGTGAGGTCCGTGGGGCGTTGTGGGCAGAAGCATCTAGGGTGGCATCCAGGGACTGGGCTGCCCTTGAGGTGGTGTTAGTCTCTAGGATGTTATCATCTCTGATGTAGCTCCTCAAATCACTGTGTGACACCAGCCTTACCTACATTGACATCAGGAGTGGGCACATCAGTGCCAGGATATGGCAGGAGTTAAGACTGAGATTTGAGGAAAGGGAGGCAGCTTTCGTCTCTGCTTTTACACTTCCTACTTACAGAAGGTGTGAAACATTCCTTTGCCTTCTGGGTGTGCCTCTTTCAGTGGTTTTACAGAAGTCTGTCACAGGGATTTACATGTCAGTGTAAATCTCTTCAGCTTCCCTGCTTGAGAGGGATGGATTCAGAGCTACATGGATGTGTGAATTTATTCCCCTATTCAAAATACTGCCATTCTTCCTAGAGAAGAGAAATGCAAATTGTTCAGAAATTGGTTTGATTGCGCCATTTCAAAGTGGTTTGAAGTGCTTTGCTTTTTGCTTCAAAATCTGAAGGGAGGAAAAAAGATGTCTCAAGCCAATCCCCTTTAGCCTCAGGGGGGTATAAACCTGCAAGCTCTGGGGAGCCAGAGCTGACTTCTCTGCAGAGAAGTAAAAACATTTCTCAGAGGTGACCTGGAGTAGCTTTTGGAGTTGCTGCTCTGTCAGGTGTGACTGTCCTGATCCCTTGGCATGACAGAGACAAGGAAGATGTTTAGAACACCTGGCCTGTTGAGTTGTAGCTCTGCTGGTGAATGTTGTTCTAGTTTCCAGCATCTGTCTCAAGAAGCAGTATGTACTTTCCTGGTGAGTGGGTGGAAGGCAAGGACCTTGACTTGTCTTCTGAGGAATCTCCCCAAATTCACGTCCCTGTTTCTGGGAAGGTCTTTTGTGCACTGTAACTTGTCCTAACGTGCTTGTTTTGCACCTGTTTGGGAGCTGGAGCACTTTGTGGTAGACAGTGGGGATGGGCAATGTCACAAGCCTTTGCAAAGCCCTGCTGTGTGTCTGTGGCTTTGCCTGCATTTCTAGCCTTTCTCTGGGAGAGCAGACCTGTGACGGTGCCCTGGAAACTGCAGGGGTTTGTTTCTTCCTTGCTTTAAAGATTTAACAGTTGCTTCCATCTTTCTGCTCCACTGAACAAGTGTTTCTCACTCTGAGCTGTTGTAGTTTTACAGGAGAGCCCCAGCAGTGAGGCCAGGCAGAGCCCTGCTGTGGAGCTGTCTGTTGGCATTGCCTGAGATGACAGATGTAGAACTTGTATCACCTCTTCCTGTGCTGGCAGGCACTTGGCAATGTATGGCTTTGGGTTTTGCTCCCAGCTGCCCACCTGGAAGGGACAGGTCATGGTGTTTGGGCAAAACAATGAGGATTTCATTGCCCTCCTCTTCATGCCACGATGGTGCCTCTGCTCCTCACTTGGGCTGGAGGATGTGATGGGGCCAACGTGTCTGAGAGAGGCCCAGCCTTGTAGTCTGGCTGCCTGTGCTTTCTGGCTTTGGATGTGGACATTTTGGAAGGAGGAAACTCCTTATTGTCTGCCTTCCTGATAATTCATCTTGTGAGAGAGGCACGAAGGGCAGGGGTGTTTGAAAATCTAGTGGAGGGGGGTCGTGCACTCTGATGGCAACCAACAGGCAGGGCTGGCACGTGGTCAGGCAGCAGCATTAGTGCACCAGTACTGGAGGTCCTGTAGACAATGGTCTTGCACCACATGTGAATGTGGACACTTGGCTGTTGGGACTGCAGGGACTGAGCATTCAGCTCACAGCTCCATCCTTTTCCTCCTGTAAGGGAACATCCTTTGTTGCAGGTCTCTTTTGGTACCAGAATCAGGCTGAGCCCTTTCTGTAGGTGAGCTTAGGTCTTTAACCATCAGTTGCTCTTTCTGGCATGATTCTGTGATAAAACCTCAGTGGAAAATCAACCTCTGGTGCCAGAGGTTCTTCCCCTGTGTCACTAGAGTTTTCAGGCTTGTAAATTCAATTTGGTTTGTGGTCAATTAAAGTCCTAAAAATAGTGTGTGGGCAGGTTCTGTCCCTGCTCTGACCCCTCTGTGCTGTGGGACCAGTACAAGGGGAGGAGGGGACAGGTTCAAACCCTCAGGCCAAGCTGGGAAAATTCCTTCTCAAGTGCCTTCAGCCAAAGTGAGGGAATCTGTGGGCTTTTGGAAGTCCCGAGGGATTATTTTGATGTATGAATCACCCTTTGTTTCCATGTGGGAAGTGGAGGGGGAGGTGAAATATAAATGATGAAGAAGCTGAGAAGTTGGCGTGAGGAAGGGTAGAGAGCTGGGGGTGCAGATGGCACGTGTCACCCCGACCTGCCTCTGGGGGGGTGTGTCATTTCCATCCTTTGTTCCTTTTCTGTACTTCTGTCTTTCTCACTCCTGAGGTGGGAGAGGGGCTGGGGGTAGGCACTGTGTGGTGAACCTGAGGAAAAGAAAGTGGAGTTGGGTAGTGAGTTGGCCTTTTGTTCAGGAGTTGCCTTGTGCTGTTGTATAACCTGCTAATGGAGGTGGTGGGTTGAGCCCTGTAGAATGGAGTCAGGGGGTGCAAACCCCTGCCCTGCTCTTCAGGGAGCAGCTGTGTCCCTGAAGACCTGGACCTGCTGATTTCATTGTCCTTTGCCCGCACCTTGCCTAGGAGTGATGTAAAGAGCAGTACTCATTCTGCCCAGCTCCTGTGGGTATCTGTGCCACCTTCCCTTGGCCACAGGCTGAGCCACCCCAGCTTCTCCTCTAGCAGGTGATCTCTCTGTTTATGCAAATGTGAGAAGACTACTTGGAGAAGAGGAACCATAGAATGGTTAAGGTTGGAAGGGACCTCAAGGATTATCAGATTCCAACCTCCCTGCTATGAGCAGGGACACCTCCCACTAGACCAGGCTGCACAAGCCTCATCCAACCTGGCCTTGAACACCTCCAGGGAGGGGACAGCCACAGCTTCTCTGAGCATCCTATTCCAGCCCCTTCCTACCCTCATGGTGAAGGATTTCTTCCTGATGTCTAACCTAAATCTCCCCTCTTTCAGTTTAAAACCATTGTCCCATGTCCTATCACCACCCTCTGAGGGGAAAGCCCCTCCCCAGCTTTTCTGCAGCCCCTTCAAGCACTGGAAGGTCTTTATAAGGTCTCCCTAGAGCCTTTTCTTCTCCAGGCTGAACACCCCAACTCTCTCAGCCTGTGTCCCCAGCAGAGCTGCTCCAGCCCTTTGATCATCTTTGTGGCCCTTCTCTGGACCTTCTCCAACAGCTCCATGTCTTGCCTGTGCTGAGAGCTCCAGAGCTGGACACACCAGAGCAGAGCAGAGGGGCAGAATCCCTTGCCTGGTCCTGCTGGCCACACTTCTTTTGATGCAGCCCAGGATGCAGTTGCTCTCTGGGCTCCAGCACTCACTGGCAGCTCATGTGGAGCTTCTCATGGACTACCAACCCCAAGTCCTTCTCCTCAGGACTGCTCTCTAGCCATTCTCCCCCCAGCCTGGATTTGTGCCTGGGGTTGTGCCAACCCAGGTGCAGGACCTTGCCCTTGTTCTCATTGAACTTTGTGAGGTTGGCACTGGCCACCTCTCCAGCCTGTAAAGGTCCCTCTGGATGGCATCCCTTTCCTCTAGGGTGTCAACTACTCCACACACCTTGGAATTCAGTCCCGTGGAAGAAATCCAGGCTTGTCTGTGGCTGTTGAGTCCATGTGTGACTGTGCATGTTGCAGAATCACTGTATCTTATCTTTGATATCTCGTTGTGCTTCTGGTGAAGCAGGACTAAAGGCAGGAGCTCTTGGGGAGCATCAGCCCTGGCGTGGGCAGGAGCTGCAAAGGGGTGATGGCTCCTATGGGCTCGTTCCTTGCATCTTCTGCAACAGATCTGTCAAAATATCCTAGATTTAACAAACAAGCTGCTATTAAAAGCTCTTGTAGATGCCTGCTGACAGAAGCAGGGTAGGGAGCATGCTGCAAACTCCCTGCTTGGCAGATGTGAGCAGACAGTCAAGCCGGGGAGAAGCAGGTGGTGGGCAGTGACCCCAGACTGAGGGCACTGGCCCCCTGGGCTGCAGTGTGCTGGCTGGGACCTTCAGTTTGGAAAGCTGAAATATTTACAGCTCACCCAGTTTGTGGGTGAGCTCTGAGGTGAGAGCAGAGGGTTCCCAGTTGATGCACTGGACCAGCTCCACTCTCCCACTGGAGGAGCTGGAAAGGACGTGCTGTGGAGGGTCACCATGCACAACCCCCTTTTTTAAGTAGAAATATGTTCAAGCCCTCACCAAGCTCATCACCTGAGCTGGTTGCAGGAGATGGTGCCAAAGGGGAGGGAGGCATTGACTCCATGCAGAGGTCATGGTGAGCAGCCATGTTGAGGACAACCTCTGGGCTGTTCTTAGGGCTGCCAAGGAGAGTTGCTTTATAGTGCAATAAAACAATGCTTTGCAAGCCAGCCTAGTAATTGCAAAGGCTGCTGAAGGCTGTGGCCCATCAAGGCTGTCCTACAAGGTGATGACCCGAAACTGTGGGGAGGAGGCTGGTCCCACTGTTCCCAGGACAACACCTTGTCTCCCAGAGCAGTCCCAGCTGCTGCAGGGCTATCATGTCCAGGTCTTTCTACATGGCTGAGCTCTTAGAAAAGCAGCCCCAGAGCATGAGGAGAGTAGCTGGTGATCTGCAAATGGAAAAAAAAGAACTCCCAGAGGTGGGTTAAGTGGCTGCCTGTGCAGATAGATGTGAGACATTTGCTGCCTGGAAGTCCCTTTGCACACCCAGCCACTCTGTAGGGGCAGCTCCCACTTGGATGACAGAAGCTGGAGTTGTTCCCATTAGCTGGGGGTGAGCTGTGCTCCCTTCAGCAAACCAATGGGGGAATAAAGCCCCCTGATGGACCCACTCACCTTCCAGCAGTGCTGGAGGTGCCCTGGTTTCTCCTCCTCCAGGATGAGCAGGCACCTGCTGCACCCCCAGCC